TCCCTCCTCTTAGGACATAAAAAGCTAGAGGGTTCCATTAACCTGCCAGCAGTGTGAAATGACACAAGTTAAGCGCTATGCTGACTGATACAGTATGTGCCTTGTTTGTTTGCATCATATGGGCACCAACTATGCTGAAAGATCCAGAAGCATCCAAAAGGCATAAAATATCCATGTGACTGTTCGATATGGCAGTATTTTTAGGGCCTCCAACTACAATACTATAAGCCAGGTAAACATTTCATTCTGGATCAGGGTCACCACCAGTGGCATTTCTGCATGTGACTGTGGCAAGAGAACTACTGGTGGTAGCTACATATGTTATCTTCTTGAAAATACAATTTCTTCTTTGCCCTCTCCATGCACAGCAATGATCTGGAAAGGAAAGTCTGTACAGTACTTCTCTTTGGCAAGTCTGTGCATGTATGGCACTTTGGTCCAATATGGTGCTTTTCCTGTGAGATTTACTGAGGAAGAATTATGTTCAAGCAACATGGAGGCACCATTCTTGGGCACATGTTTCTTCCAGTCACAGCTTAATGTGATAGTGAGAAACATTTAAAGAGCTGAAAGAGCATTCTGCAGAAAAACCTGTCATAATAGGGAATCTTTGATCCTCTGCCTGTTGTTGGCCTTTTGTTGGTATGTGCTTTCAAGTTGCTTTTGACTTGTGATGACTCTACTATGGTTTTCAAGATATGTGACATATTAAAAAAGTTGCTGACCATTGTCACCCCCTATTATGTTTCCATAGCCAAGGAGATATGTGAACCTAGGTTTCCTGACTCATATTCAAACACCACACTAGCTGTTTAGTTAGCCTATAATTCCTTCACCATGAGCATTTTTGCCAGAGTTTCTAAGACTTGGAGGGCCAAAGTGCTCCATCCTATAACAAACTTTTGCTATTGGGCATGATCCCCATACATCAGGGAAATGACAAGTTCCCCCCTTGCAAATAATAATCATTTATTTATTTATTTTATTTTTCCGGCTTTTACCCCGCCCATCTAGATTCAGTGATATTACTCTGGGCAGCTTACAGTCCGAGTATAAAACAAAAATTAAAACAATATCAAACAACATAGAGAAAGGCAAAGTCCAAGATGGTAAGACATACGAGAAAACTAAGAAATGGAAGGGGGGGGGGGGGAAGGCCTGCCTGAAGAACCAAGTCTTCAACTTGTTCTTAAAAACTCCCAGCAAAATAATCATTTATTTATTTATTTTTCCGGCTTTTACCCCGCCCATCTAGATTCAGTGATATTACTCTGGGCAGCTTACAGTCCGAGTATAAAACAAAAATTAAAACAATATCAAACAACATAGAGAAAGGCAAAGTCCAAGATGGTAAGACATACGAGAAAACTAAGAAATGGAAGGGGGGGGGGAAGGCCTGCCTGAAGAACCAAGTCTTCAACTTGTTCTTAAAAACTCCCAGCAAAGGTGCCAGGCGAATCTCAAGGGGCAAGGTTTTCCAGAAGCGAGGGGGTCACTGCCGAGAAGGCCCAGTTTCTAGTTCTCTCCTTCTGGGCCTCTCTTGGGGTCAAGCCCCTCAGCCACCCAGCCCGGCTAGATCGAGTGACACGAGTAGAGCTAGGTGGGAGCAGGTGCTCTGTCAGGTATCGTGGTGCTAAACTGTTTAGGGCTTTGTATTCGCGAAGGCTTTCCTGTTTAGGGCTTTACTGTATATGTAAGCATTCATACCTTGAAGTCAATGCAGAAATCAATGGACAACCAGTGTAAGGCTGCCAGAGGAGTGGGGGAAATGTGATGATATTTTTTTCACCCCGGTTAATAATCTGGTGGCTGCTGTTCTGGACCAGTTGTAGTTTCTGCATCCATCTCAAGGGCAACCCCATGTAGAGCGCATTACAGTAGTCAGTTAGGATTATAATAAGGCTTATGTTGCCTGTGAGGCAGAAAATCCCACAAGTAACTCTCCGATTTCCTGGCACTCATAATAAAGTAATAAAGAAATACGTGTTATCTTTTTACAAAACCAACTTTGGTGGCTGCCAGTACCTGACCATTGACAAATGATATGATCACATAAAGTGGTACTGAAAACTAGTTTGAATATTATAGCCTCCTCCCCACCTAAAGTTAATAAGGAAGCTCATACTGCAATCCTATTCATATTTAGATGGCAGGCATGCCTACGGAACTCAGTAAAGCTTACTTATTTATAAGCAGCCTTACCCACGGCATAGAGACACAAGATGGCCCACAAATACATTAAAAATTCAATAAATTACAACAATAGAAATTAAAAATTAGTAATATTCTTAAAAAATGGTAATTTATTTTTTTTTCAAAACACTTTAAAAACTCACCTTAAAAACAATAGTATACAACATTCCATCTTTCTTCTGCCTAAAAAGGAATGCCTTGACCTAACATTGGAAGGACCAGTGTGTGGGGGGGGGCTTTCCACAACCCGATAGCAGCTACTGAAAAGGATCTCTCTTGCAGCCTCACCAAATGTGCTTGTGAAAGTAATGGGACCAAGAGAAGGGCCTCCCATTAAGAACTTAAAATCCAGGCTTGGCTCCTACAGGGTCTTTCAGACTGCTTGGTCCCAAGACTGTTGAATTAGGACCAGAAATGGACTGGAAGCTCAGGCAGTTGTGTTTCCTATAATCGGCCCCAATCAGCAATCTGGCTGTAGCATTTTGAACTAGCTGAAGCTTCCAAACCGTTTTCAAAAGCAGCCCCATACAGAATACACAGCAGTACTCCAGACAAGATGTGATCGTCACCATAGTCAGATCAGACATCTCAAGAAATGGAAGCACCTGGAGCACTAAGTTTTCACTGTAGAAATTACTCTTCTGGTCACTACTGAAACCTAAGCATTGAAGCTTGGAACTGAATCCAGGAGCACAACCAAGCTGCAAACAGGAGTGGAACTCTGCCCAGCATAAGATGAATTTGTATTCTCTGATCTGCCTTTTGATTGACGAGGACGGATTCTGTCTTGTCTGGATTAAGCTTCAATTTATTCACCCTCAATCAATTTCTGACATCAAACACTGATCTTGGCCTGAAACAGCTTTCATAGAGTTAGATAGGAAGGACAGATACAGTGGAGTGTCATCACCGAAGCTCAACATTTGTGCCAAACTTTCCCAAGTGTTTTCAAATATATGCTGAATAACAAGGGAACAAACTGAAACCTTAGGGGCTACACAGGCAATGGCAAGCATGTTGAACACGATTCCCCCAGCGCGAACTTCTGACCTTGCCCCTCTCGGAAAGACTGGAGTGTCTCTAAAACAAGTGCTATGCCAGAGAAACTACCTAGAATGAAGGATACCCTAATCAAAGACCCAGAGACATCCAGCAGGGACACACTCCCTTTGTCCTGGCCCAATGGTTCTCAACCTTGAGTAACTCAGGTGTTCTTGGACTACAGTTCCCAGTAGTCTTCAGTACCAGCTGTTCTGGTAGGGATTTATGGGAACTGCAGTCCAAGAACACCTGGCACCAGCTGTTCTGGTAGGGATTTCTGGGAACTGCAGTCCAAGAACACCTGGGCTATCCAAGGTTAGGGAACCACTGTAGGTCCACCAAAGCAACCAAAGTCATCTCTGTCCCATAATCCATTCTGAAACCAGACTAAAATGGATCGATATAACCTGTCACATTCAAGAACCCCTGGAAGTGTAAACTCACCATATGTTCCAACCTGTTGCCCAAAACTTGAAGTCTGGAAACTGGCTAGTTATGTTCCTATATGGGGAGATTCAAGATGAGCTTTTCCAACAATGGTCTTACTATGACCTTCTTTGGATATGCTGAAACCCCTGCCTTGCTGTAGGAAGGCATTTTGAGGGCTTCCCTTCTCTACTCTACCAGTTCCCGCTCAGCTGACTTTAAAAGGCAAGAAGGGCAAGGTCCAGCACAACTGCGATGGTTCTCACCTCTCTGAGGATTCTGTCCACGTCCCAGGAGTTACAAATTGAAGTATATCCACAATACAGAACAAGAAAAGGCCAGAGTTACATCATAGGGACTTGCCTCAGGTTTGTGCTAAAGTCCACCCAGAGCAACAGATCTCACATTACTTCAGGAATTGTCTTTTCCTTCTGTATCATTAGGGTCTGGCCCAACTTTGCTCCAACTTATGAAGGTTCATCTAATAATGTAGAACTTAAGTGCAACCCACATCACAGGGGGTGGGGGGAAGTGCACCCCACAGATATAACCATCAACGGGGAGCTGGCATTGGCTGCGTGTTCACTTGAGGGGGAGGCGGACGACTCAGGCTAGCTGTCACGTGCAATGTGTGGAGGGCACCGTGGAAAACTTCGTCGGGACCAAGGCCCACCGGAGAGCGCCCCCCACCGTCTGTCCAAAAGGCCACGCTCCAGGGCCCTGCGACGCCACAGCAGATCCAAACTGCCCCCCCTCGAAGGCGACCGGCACCCACCTCCCGCCCAGTCACGTGGTGCGCGCACCCCACGCGGGCCGAGCGACCCCCGTCCCCTTTTCCTCAGCAGGCTGTGCACGCGGAGGGAGGGACGGAGGGGAGGGGAGGGAGAGAGAAAGGCAGGCACGCGAGGGGGAGGACCGGACCCACTTCCCACCCACTTTGCAACACTTGCCTCGCTTTGCCACGCGCCACCGCAGAACTCGCCCGGTGGGCGCTCGCTTTCTTGAAGTTGGGCCAGGGCGCCGCCGCCGCCGCCAAGGAGAGAGCGAGAGAGAGCTCGACGTGACTCCGCCAGCAACTTGCCCAGGCCTCCGACTCCTCTCGCAGCCCCGCTTGCCTGCTTCCCTGCCTGCCTTGCTTCCCTTCCCTCGGCGTTCTGCCCCCTCCCGCTGGGCTGAGGCTCGCCCGGGGCTCGCCGGGCGGCGCGCTCACAGTGCGCAGTGCCTCTGCAGCGACGGCAGCAGGAGCGGGAGGAGCAGGCGGCTTCGAGCGCTCCGGGCTGAAGCAAGCGGCGGCGGCGGCGGCCGTGGTGGTGGTGGTGGTGGTGGTAGCGGCAGCGGCGGCGGTTGTAGTAGTAATAAAAGCTCCTCCTCCTCCTCCTCCTCCCGCTCCTGCTCTTGGTTTCCCCCCTTGGTCTCCCGCAGGCAGGATATGGCCGTAGCCCTGCAGCCCTCTGCGGGCCGCGGGGCGGGGCTTTAATTCCGAGCGGGGTGGTGCCCTTTGCAGCAATCGGGAGCCGAAGGCGCCGGGCGCCGGGCGCAGCGCAAAGCGCCCGCGCGCCCCTCTTCCTCTCGCTCTCCATGGACGGGGGAGCGGGGGGCGGCCCCGGGGTGCCCGGCTCCGAGAGCCCCAACCGGGCCGTGGAGTATCTGCTGGAGCTCAACAACATCATTGAGAGTCAGCAGAAGCTGCTGGAGACCCAGCGGCGCCGGATCGAGGAACTGGAGGGGCAGCTGGAGCAACTGAGCCAGGAGAACCGGGACCTGCGGGAAGGAGACCGGGATCGCGACCGGCACAGGGATCGCGACCGGGATCGCGACCGGGACCGGGAGGGGCAGTACCATCACAAGGAAAGGGATAGCCACTATCAAAACCGGACGGACCGAGACGGGCAGTATCAGAACCGGGAAGGGCAATACCAAAACCGCACCGACCGAGATGGGCAGCCGTACCAGAACCGGGAGAACAGGACGGACCGCGACGCTCCCTACCAGAACCGCGGAGACCGGGAGAACCAGTACCAAAGCCGAGCAGACCGAGAAGGGCAGCAGAACCAGTATCAGAACCGGGACAAGGAGCGAGAGCTACAGCACTATGGAAACCGGGACGGGCAGTACCAGAACCGGGAGAGCCACTACAGGGAACCTTGCCAGCTGCATCGAGACCGACCCCCGCCATGCCATCAGACTCGGGAGAAGGAGCACGAGTACCCACGACCACCCAGGGAAAGGGAGAGGGGACAGCTGAGCCGTGGCGCGTCGCGGAGCTCCAGTCCCGGAGCAGGAGGTGGCCACAGCACCAGTGCCAGCACCAGCCCTGCCACGACTCTACAGAGAAAGTAAGGAGCTGGGTCCGGACCTTTGCAGGCGGGGGGGGGGCTAATCTCCCCTAATCTCATGCCCTCACATTTCCTACCTCTCGGTTAAGATCTAAACCCCGGTCACCCAGGGGCCGGTCTGTTCGCCCAAGCCCTTGTGGTGGAGGCAGTCACGGAGAGAGGCCAGCCCAACAATGTGGAGTCATAGAGCCAGGTGCCCCTTACAACAGGGTGAGGTTTGGGTCAAGCGCAGAGGGAAGGATGCTTTGGGGGGGGCATCAAGAGGTTGCTGGGAGCCTGTCTTCTAACCCAGGTTTTTAAAAATCTAGTTGCATCTTGTTGCAGTCACACCCTCCCTTCCCCACCTCACTTGGTACTTCTCCTTTCTTGCTTAGGTGGACAGTGTTTTCCTTGTTACCCCCAGTCCTCCTAGTTAGGTCTCATTCATCCTCATTAGTGGACCGTCTTTGCAAAATGCCTGCATTAGACCCTGCCTGGGACCTCCCCTTCCCCACTGCAGGCGGCTACATGGCCTGCCCTGAATACACAAGCGCACACCAGTGCCGTTCTAGCCATCCAAACTGCTGCCCCTAGATTTCATTCAGCCAGGCTTTCTCCTCTCCTTGGCCTTTCAAACTTCAGCCTTACTTTCTGCCATCTTTGTCCCACGGCTCCTTGTTTCTTTTTATTCCAGAAGAATATCCCTTTGTAGAGAATGTATTCCACTGCAGAGAAACAATACACATACAGTATTTCTCTCACCAGCCAGCCTGGATCCTTTAATTTGGTCCTCCTGTCAGGGACTTGCTTTCTAGTGGCTCTCTGCAGAAACTGGAAAAGGGAGACTTGTCACTGCAATGGGTGACTGAAAATGCTTTCTCTTGCCAGTCCTGCATCCTGTCTCCCTGCAATATCTCAAAGGGCTCTCCCCTCCACCCACCAGACCCACCACTTTTCTGGATTTTACTGTGCCACGGATGACAAATCAATATCTTCTTTAAAAACTCTGGATTAATCCAGCCTGGTGCAAATGATTCCCTGCATGCTTTTCAGCACTGAGCTGCTACAAATACCAGTAGGTAGTTAAAGTTGTTCTTCAGCGGATTTGGGCAGCCGTCCTCAGCACATCTCTCTTTGCTGAATCCTAAGTAGTTCTTGCCCCCTGTTCTTACCCCTGTCCTGTGGGGTTAGAACAGGAAAAGGAGGGGACAGCTGCAGAGTCTAGATGTGAGAGAATCCTCTTGCTATTCCAAATCGGTTATTTCTAGCAGGGTAAATCTTGTTGCATTCCCATAGCATATTTTTGTGCCTGTTTTATATAGGATGGAGTTAGATCCAATCTTCTGCTTTTCCTCAGAGTCTGTGTAGGTGTGTGTGCACATATGTAAACATCCCTAGTCCTCTCAGTAGTTTTTTTTTGCAGGGTGGCCTTTTCAGCAAATTCTCGTTTAATGGGATAGGTGGTAGAAATGAGCTACTGGTTATGACAAGCACTGGATCTTTCCCAGTGCTCATCTCTAACCTGAACCCCCCCCTCCAAGCCCAGCTGACTTGTGACTTCAGGATTACATTCAGAGGAGGGAGGTTGCCACTGAGCATACTATTGCTATGATGAGAGAGGAGGAAAGAGATACTGAACTGATGAACAAGGGAGTAGGTGTCTCTGTGTGGGTGTGAAATAGATGTTGGATGGACTGTTTAGGGTTATGTAGCAAGTGTTGAGTTCAGAGCCTTGGAGGAGAACATGGCATTTTGGAGAGGGGTGAGTGAAGGTGCCCGCTGATGTACGGTGCAAGTAGGAAACACATACTCTGAGTGCTTTGGGGAAAATATCAGGACTGAGCATGTTCTCCCCGTCTGGTATCTTTTCGGTGGACTGCAACACCCAGCATCCCTCACTGGGCATGCTGGCTTGCATAATGAATGCTGTAGTCACTCTAGAACATCAGGAAGGCATTAGCCTGGTGAAGAACCAGGATGAACCAAGACTGAACTCTAGAAGAGGAGCAAGGTTCACATTTTTTTCTCTCTTCTGGCTTGCACCATTTTCTAATCCACATACTCCTTGGTGAAAATATGATAATAATTACATACTTTAAATCTGAAACCTAAAGTGCTTCACATACATCAGCTGTATAATAACTACAGCCACCACCTTGTATGGTAGGCCTAGGTTATTCCCATTTTTAAAAATTTGGTAGTGAAAATGAGGCCATGAAAGCACTGCCTTGTCCAAAGCCTTCAAATGGGAGGCCATAGCAACCGTGAAGGTGGAACCCGGGATTTTCCTTTCCTTGCAACATTGACAGAGGTGTCATTTGAAACAATCTCTTTGGAGAGGCAAGCCTGCTTCTTTCTAGCAGCTGGTTGCAGATCTTCTCATGTCTTCTTAGCTATGCTTCTCTCCCCTACTCTGGTTGTTATCTGTTCTCTAGTATCTGGTCTAGTGCCATGTGGGCCTGCTCTGAAAGGAATAGCTCCTAGTTTGGGAACCTATGAATGGTTGCCCTAAAGCACTGCACCAGAGAAGTCGATCTCCAGACTGGATCTTCTTCTTCACTGAGTTCCAGCTGGAGGCTGGGGTGCTGTTGGCCCTTGAAAAAAAAAAACATTGGGATCTGCTTTGGAAGGCATGGCAGCAGGGGAGGCTGTGTGGGGTGGGAATTGACGAATCCAGCCGTGTGTTCTTTCTCTCTCTCTCTCTCTCTTCATTGCCGCCTCCTTCTTCTGGTTAGAAATTAGCAAAGTGGTTTGATGCTGCAAATGACTTAAAACCAGCACAAATGTGTCTTGCCATTCCCACCCACTCGCTACCGGCACTGGGGAGGCGTTTTTTTCCCCGAGCTTGGAGTGGCAATGCACGGTGGGGGTTGGACTGATCCTTTACTCCCCGCTGGCAGAGAAGGCAGAAGTGGCTAGAGGCAGCCTCTCAATCCTTCTCTAACGAATAGACACTACTTCTTTCCCCACTTCATTTGCTGACCTGGGAGGCACAGCTTAATGAATGTGAACTGCCTATCCCGAAGCCTTTTTTTTTTGTTCAAATCCCTTCTACGCCATGAAGTCATTAGTTAGTCTTAAGCAAACTGTTACCTCTCCTTCCCTGACCTCTGTCTGCATTTGGGATATAATATTGGCCTACCTTTCGGGGTTGTTTTGAAGAATAATGACAGAACGCACATGATTGTTTTTGATATCTCAGAAGCTAGTATATGCCCATTCAGCATTATGAAATTCCCAGTTTCTTCCCAGAGCTTGAAAAGAGAATAAAAACATTCCAGCATCTAGCCATCCGGACATATCCTGGAGATCACTTCCATTTGTGATGAGATGATAAGAAACATGCCTTGCCACGCGTCTGTTGTGCTTTGCTGCATGTGATAAGACATGTGGCTTCTTCTTTGGACTTCATTATGTTCTGTTATGCTCTTCTTCTCCAGTGCAGAAGCGGCTGCATGCTTCTGTGTAGAAATCTGGTAAACTAGCTTTTCGGCATAAAGCGTACCCTGCTAGTTTCTTAGCACTGGAGTGTAATAAGAAGAGCAAATTGTCAGCTCTGAAAGTCATTTGTCTCCTCTGCTGCAGATTGCAGGCATGTCACTGCGCGAGGGGGGGGAAGAACGAAGCGATCGCTAAGGACTCCTCCTGGTTGTGTGCATGGCTCATCAAATATTGCAGGGGAGGGCCAAAGTGTCTATTCCTATTATGTAATCCTGGTGAGCCATAGAACCCCTGGCACCAATGCTAAAAGAGAGGTTGAGAGGGAGGGCAGCATGTGAATAAAGATTTTCTAGGAGACCTCAGCTAGATTTAAGGCAAACAACCTGTGGATCTGTTTGGTGCTCCAGCTGTGTTGATCCGCATCAGCCTTTGCTCTGCAGATGCTCCATCTAACTCCTGCTCCCAGTCACAGAAGGGATCTCTCTACGTGCCTATGCCTTGTGGCAAGTCATTGACATTTTCAGCAGGCTGTTGCCTTCCTTGCGGAGTTCCTTGTTCCCTTTCCTTTTTCCCTCCTGGCAGAGAAGGGGAGGGGAAATGCATAGTGTTAATTAATTACTAGTTCCCTAGGTTTCCAAAGACATTAATTAATTAATTAATTGCACACCATCAAGTCAATCCTGATGGATGGCAACCTTCCAGGGTTTTCTAGGTATAAATTGCTCAGAAACACTTTACTGCACTGCCCCCACCACCTCTGGTGTGGTGCTCTAGGACCATATAGATTGCCCGGAGCCACATGGGTGACAGGGCATGTAATCCTATCAGTCAGCCATGTTCTGGGTAATCTCAGCTGGCCCCTCTCCCTGGAGGCACCGTGCAAATTCAGACTCTTGGCCCCTTGCTCTGCAAACAGCTGCTGTAACCCTCTGAGCAATAGCAACAGACAGATTATTTACAGATGTTCAAAATCAAGAGTGGTCTAATATGATCAGATAGGCGGGATAGAAATAAAATAAATAAATAAATAAATAAGATATATATTTTTTTTGCTCACGCCATTCCTAAACACGGTAAGGACAAGGTAAGGACAGCAATGACACTTGGATGTAGTTTCTGTTAACTTGGTGTACCTGGACAGGCATGTTTTAGTCTAGGCTCAGAGTTAGGCACTGGGCAGTTTTAAACCTGTGTATGGCGCCAGCTCTGGGTTTTCACCTGAGCTTGAAACAATACAGTAACTTTTAAAAAGAATAGACAGATACGTTGAAATCATCCACAAATGGTTAGTGGCAGGTTAATATTCTGGGTACTGAAAAGTAACTTTCCGAACCCTGATTGCCACACTAGAGGTTTAATGAGATGTTATCCTGGTTGTGTGGCAGCTACAAAAAGGGCTTTTGGGCATCTAATATGCAATTCCGCTCCTCTGTTAACTTATAGGAGAACTGACCCCAGTCCTGTCAATACCATATTCTTCTATTTCGACTCTTCTCCTGAGTGCAAGAAGGTGACGTGAAGTGGAGGTGAGCAGGAAAGGAATAGGAAAATTATAGTTTGGAGAACAAGATGCTAAACAT